GAGGGGGTCCCACAGGCCCCCATGAACGTGGGTCCTCCCAGCCACATCCTTCCACAAACCCTGCACCATGAAGACCCACTACTCAGATGTCTGTTGCTGGGTGCTGCCGGACCGGTTCTGATTCTAGAAATGGAACCTCAAGCGACTTGGTCCCCAGGACCCTTGCTGGGTCTTTTTAGTTTGTTATATTTTAAACCCAGGGCTTCCTCGACCTCCCCCCAACAAAAGAACAAAAACTCCAGGCCCAGCGGCAGTGACAGTGTGTTGGGTGAGCAGGCACAGCGAGGCTGGGCAGTGGGGCAGCCACTGAGGCCCCTGAGACCTCAGGCTCCCATGCAAGAGAGCCAGGGGCCACCAGGACACCTGCCAGCAACCAGGGTGTCTCAGGAGCCGCAGGAGCCTCTGGCCAGGACCTGATGGCCAGGCAGGCATCTGACCGGGCAAATGGCAAGAAGGGAGAAGGATGCAGGCGCATGGCAACCGTGGCCCAGAGACCCACCGTCCAGACCCGGCCCTGAAAACCCTGCTGCCAGCCCTTCCGTGTCCTCTGTGGCGGTAGTAGGTGCCAGAAGGGCCACAGGCAGGGACGAGGTGACGCCCCTGATGCTGCCTGCTTCACTGGGGGTGAGTGACCCCCGAGAAATTAAAGAGGAAGATACAGATCCCCTTCTCAGAAAAAGGCAAGCCCTCACATGTTTTCAGTACGTCTTCCGGGATTATGACCTTCCTGAAGCCCGACCATGAACACACGATAAAAATCCGGCCCCATCCAAGGGGCAGGCAACAGTGACACTTCAGGGACGCGCTCGTGTGGTTTTGCTAAAGAAAAACGTAGCCACCGTGTGGCTGTTGGGACAACTGTCCAGCACTTAGTGTGACAACGATACAATTCTGGAACAGGAATGAGGCGCAGGCGTACGTACCCTCTACGTTTTCATAGACCATTAAGCAAAATAAGTCTCTGTGGTTTCCTAATTGGGTGAAGGGGAAGCTGCCGGACAACTAGAGAAAAGGCCCTTCTCAAGTCACGCGTGGAGTCAGCCTGGGGCTCCTGGCTCTGCAGACCTGACTCTCCACACCCAGGGCTCTGTGTTCCTCCTCTGCTCTACCCCACCGCGTGGGGGACACGCAGAGGAACGGGAAGGCCGTGGCCTGCCTCCCACGGCTGCTGGGGACACTGGCAGGCTGGGGCCGGTGGGGCCAGCCAGGGGGACACGGGTATCTCTCAGTCAGCCGGGCTGGGCCCCCACGCAGCTGTGTCGTCCTCCAGCTTTTCGACCTGACCTCAAGGGAGCAGCCCCAGGTGTCCTCACCCCCAAATAAGTGCCGCTCACCCTGATGGGCCAGGCCTGAGGGTCTCACCTTGGCCCCTCCCAGACTGCCACCCTTGTTCCAGGGTGCGCCTGGGCCACCCTTGCCACCGCGACATGGCCCCTCCAGACGGGCCTGGCTGGTCTCACCTTCCCATGCCTCCCGGTGGGTCTGCTCCTGACAGGCAGCAGGTCAGCATGCTGCAGGGGTCTGGCCAAGCCTGTGCACCCTGTAGACAACTCCCAACACTCCAGAGATTCCCAGACTCATAAAAAAACCACCAAAGCCCTCTCCCCACCACCATGGCACATGCTGAGGGTACCAGGCAGCTGTGAGCCCAGGGCCACCTCCACCACCTCCCGCTTAAACCACCACAAGACCAAGCCAGCCCCACCTGCGGCCCTGCACCCCACCCTGAGTGTGTGTTGAGGGGGGCTCTGACGCTGCGTGTGGCCTTGTGGTCCAGCCCCTCGACCCTGAGCTGCCCGGCCTTCCTGGTTTATCTCAGCCACCTAACGGACCCTTGCCCTGTTTTTCTTTTGGCAAATCTGCCTCCCTGTTTCAAGGATGACCTTTTCTATCATTTCCTGGGCAAGCAAATCCATCCGTTCAGCACCTGCTACCTGACCACTGAGAGCCAGGCCCCCATGAGAGACAGGGGTCGTGGGGGAGCAGGGGCTGGGGTCCTTGCAACTGCGGGGCGAGAGCTCAGAGAAGTGACCTCGTGGTAGCACCTGGGGGGCCGAGGGCGGGGGTCCCAAAGGGAACCCAAGAGCTGGGGCTAGGGGTGATGGGGCCACCTGCCCTCTGCACCCAGACCCAGGGGGTGGAGCTTGTCAGGAGCGACCCGTAGGTTGGGGTGGCTCCCCCTGCTCGCTGGGTCTTCTCCACCACAGAGCAGACCCCACTTCAGGGCTCCCATGGCATTCCGGACACCCCAACATCACCATTCCACCTGCCTGGACACCTCAGCCCACTGCAGAGTGTGCCCCAGGCCGACCCCGTGATGACCCCATGCTGACCTCTGTGTTGACCCTTATGTTTGACCACACGTTGACCCAATACTAACCCCATTGCCAACTTCTCTCCACTGACCCCAAGCTGACCCCTGGGCTGTCCCTGTGATGACCCACACCGACCCCACATGGACCCTATGGCGACCCTTTGATGACCCTGCTGACCCCATCCCAACCCCGTGATCTCCCGTGCTGACCTCCTGCCGACCCTGTGATGACCCATGACCTCACCCGCCCTTGCTCACCAGCGTGTGCCGCTTCATGTGCTCACGCCGCGTGAACTTCTTCCCACAGATCTCGCAGGGGTAGGGCCGCTCGCCGGTGTGGGAACGCATGTGCCGCTTGAGGATGCACTGGTGCATGGCCGAGAAGCTGCAGTATGGGCACTTGAACTTCTTCCTGATCACCGTGAACTCGTTGACTGCAAGAGAGCGGACGAGGGAGTCACCACGCGGCCACCCGGCCCAGCGAGCCCCAAGCCCCACAGACTGCCCACCGCCGCCGACAGAGCCACGGGCCTGGCCCAGCTGGCCTCCAGAGCAAAGGGCTTTTCCTGTGAGGTTTGGTGTCAGAGGACCGAACAGGCTTGGGCCAAAAGCCAGAGGCCACCTCATCCCCTTTTTAAGAGAGTACTTCTCAGACAGCCCAGCGTATGCGTCAGTGCCCACAACACAGCGCTGTCCACACTCGGGATCGCAGTGGAAAAGCACAAGAAGAAACACAGGTGAAGCCGGAGAACGCCCTGAGCCTGTGGCTCTGCTCATGGCTCCCGACCGACAGCGCCCGGAGCCCTGTCCGCACACCTGCAGGCTGGGCTGCACGCGGAACGCCCAGGGGAAGCGTGCAGCTGGTGGACACGGCCAGGCGAGAGGCCGCTCAGCCCCAAATGCACCGCGAGAGCGGGCAGCGCTCTGCCCGGGGCATGGCTGGTCCGCGGAGTTTCTTCCTTTCCGCTTTTCGAGGACGACGCCACGGGCCCCTGAGGGGTCACACCTGTGGCCAGTTCGGCCTCATGGCTGGGGCCACATTCCACACCAGAATTCGGCCACACCCTTGGAGGCGTCTTATCCCACATTCCGGGTGGCCTCTTGGTGGCAGTCGGGGGGTCCGGGGTCCCACATGTTAGCCTCACTGTGCAGGGTGCACTGGGCACTGGGGCAGCTCACCCCGAGGGGCACCCTTTGCACTGGGCACTCGCGGACACCGCAGCCACCCCATCTTGAGCCTGCAGGGCGTCCCTCCAGTACCCCAGAAACCTGAAGGCCTCCTGGGGTCAGTCGTCCTAGATTTCACCGGGATTGCTGGGAGCAGCCCGAGGCCCACTGTGTGGGGCCGGCTGGCAGACGTCTGCCCTTCGGCGTCTGGATGCAGCTTCTGGGCCCCTACACCACCCCACAACCCGGAGGGGTACAGAGAACACTCAGCAGGCTACGCATCAGCACCAGAACCCGGAAGACAGGCCAAGGGTCCAGTGGTCAAGAACACTGGACCCGGGCAAAGGCAGGCTGCCAGCACAAACACCAGCAGGGGTGGGGACAGCCGGTCAGGCCCTGGCAGCCCCCCTCCACACCCTCAGACCCCTACCAAACGTCCATGCGTGACAGGCCCTGGGCACAGTCACAACCGCCCCTCGAGGCCCTGCGAGGAACGCAGATAAGAAAACAACTGCCCCAGAGTTTCACAGAGCAGGGAGGAGACGGGGGAGCTGAGGGGACTCAGAGTCCTGGGCCCTCTCACTGGAGGGAACTGGCCAGTCTGCTGGGAGAACGACTGGGCAGTTTAGTCGAGCTCTGTTCCCCAGCCCTGGGCTGCCCACGATGTCGCACAACATCGGGAACCCCTCACCACCATCCCGAGAAGCCTGCCCCCGTGGCCTCCAACTCCATTCTGCTGCTCAGACCCCAGCCATGGGCACATCGCCGTGGAAATGGCGCCAACTGGACGGTGCAGAGCGGCAACCCCGAGCACACTGGGGTTGGACGCCAGGTCCTGCGTGCACGTGGACGTGCATGGAGGTGCCCTCACTCCCGCACCTCCGTTCCTGAAACACGCTGGTTAAGTTCAGGGATGACGCTGAGCAGAACACTTCACATTGCATCCTAAATAACCCTTATATTTTTCTCTCAAGAACCCTTAAAGGGCATCTAAATAATCAAGCAACCCAGATTATTTCTTATTTTCCAGTGAGACCGCCTGCAAGATCTGCGTCCACCCTCCTGTGCCCGAGAGCCCTTTACTCTGGGATCTCCCCGACCCCGTAGACAGTCAGTCCACACCAGGGCCACTCCTCTCCTAGGGGGACCTGTGCCCACACTTGGCCCGGACGACTTCACCAGGGCGAGGCCATCACAGCCCAGGGCTGGGCTGTGTGGACTTCATCACAGCTCACAGCCACTCCCAGGAGCCCGGCCGTCGTTGCTGCCCTGACAGTTTGCACATAAAAGGGATTCCCTCTCCCCGCCAAGCCTGAGAACGGAGCTCACCGCATCTCTCTCAGAATTCTAAGTCCTGTCCTAGGAAATAAAACATTTTCTTACATTTAGGAGCTTTTAACGTGTGCGTGTGTATGGCCAGGAACTGGGGGTGGGGGGGAAGGCGCAGCCTGGTCAAGAGGCTAAAACCAGAACCCTGTAGAGACGCTGGAAGGTACACGAAAGCACTCAGGAGACGAGAAAACCTCCTGATCCCATCACACACAGAACCAGTTAACACCTTCACGTCTGTCTTTTGAGTCTCTTTTCTATGCATAAACATATAAAACATGATAGAATTGAAATTATAATGTACACAGTTACATAGAACATCACCCACTTAACACTGTGACTGCTTTTCATGCTGTAATTTTAACTTGTATGTTTTTAAATGTTTGAATATACCATAATTTATTAAATAAAGATCCTGTTGTTGAATATTTAAGCTTTTTCCTTGTTTTTACCCTTGTGAAGGATGCTTCAATGAGGTTCCTACAAATGAATCTTTGCACCCATCTGGTCGCCTCCTACCAGTAAATTCTGAGAAGTGGGACATGCCGGACTGTCCTCCAGACCAGCTGCCCCCTTTGCCACACTCCCTCAGCCCTCCCACCAGCCCTAGAGCACAAGCAGCTCTGAGCCGCAGGAGCGAATGCGCAGCACGTGGCCGCGAGGCCCAGGGAACGTCCGTCTGTCCGTCTATCCAGCCGCGCCCATCACACCTGGCAGCTCCACAGGAGGAAAACCTCATGTTCTTCTTTATTTAGCCTCCCATCCCAGCAACCAGGCCTGGCCTCGACCCGCCCCATCAGTTAGGCAGCAACGACACCACACGTCCACGGGGGCAGGGTGGGTTTCCTTGACACGATTCCGATTTTCTACTATCACCAAAAAGAGCCAGTGTGCCGCCTGCTCTGAGATGGAAACGGAGAACAAGGAAGGGAGCTTTTAGGTTATTTACTTTAAAACAACTTTTTTTGAAAATGTATTTATTCATGGTTTTCTTTTTTTTTTTTTGTGAGGAGGACCAGCCCTGAGCTAACATCCAATGCCAATCCTCCCCTTTTTTGCTGAGGAAGACTGGCCCTGGGCTAACATCCATGCCCATCTTCCTCTACTTTATATGGGACGCCGCCACAGCATGGCTTAACAAGCGGTGCGTCGGTGCGCACCCGGGATCCGAACCGGCAAACCCCGGGCCGCCGCAGCGGAACGTGCGCACTTAACCGCTTGCGCCACCGGGCTGGCCCCATTCATGGTTTTCTACTCTGCTTCTATAAACGTGAAAATTAACATTTTGAATTATATACTCTAGTCTTCTGTATTTAACAATTCAGACCTACATGTTAAAAAAAAAATACTTTTCTCTGTAGAGAAATGCTGTATTTTTTCCCTAGAAAAACAATTAAGGATGCACGGACATGAGCATGAGCCACCCTTAGTGACCCTACCACCTTGGCTGGGCAGGCCACTCTGTGCAGGGCCCACATGCGGCCACTTTCTGAAGTGACTCCGATGATACGTTTTGGTGTTTTCTTAACATATTAACTTCCTGTCGCTGCCGTAACAAACTACCACTAACTGGGGCTTAAAGTAACAGAAATCTATCCTCTCCCAGTTTTCTGGAGGCCAGAAGTCTGAAATCCAGGTGTGGGAAGGGCTGAGCTCCCTCCGGAGGCTCTAGGACAGGATCCCTCCTGCCTCTCCCAGCTTCCAGGGGCCCCAGGCGTCCTCGGCTGGTGGCTGCATCGCTTCAGTCTCTGCCTCCATCTCCACACGGCTTCTCCTCTGTGTCTGTGTCTTCTGTCTCTTATAAGGACACTTGCCACTGGATTTAGGGCCAACTTGGATATTCCAGAATGATCTCAACTTGAGATCCTTAATTTAATTTTATCTGCAAAGACCCTTTTTCCAAATAGGGTCACATCCACAGGTTCCAGGGACTAGGACGTGGACATGTCTTTTGGGTGGGGAGCACCCTGCAACCCGTTACATTAAATGAACAGACTGTGATCTCTGAGGGACATTTGCATTGGCTATTATGATTAAAATAACTTCTCACTGGGCAGCCCTGGTGGTCTAGCAGTTAAGATCCAGCGCTCTCACCGCTGCGGTCAGGGAACCTGTCCCGGTCAGGGAACCACACCACCCCTGTCAGCTGTCACACTGTGGCAGCTCATGCTGCTGTGATGCTGAGAGCGCTGCCACGGGGATTTTAAATACCAGCAGGGTCACCCAGGTGGACGGGTTTCAGCAGAGCTTCCAGACTAGACAGACGCACCTGGCCACCCACTTCCAAAAGACTTGGCCACGAAAACCCTATGAATAGAGGCAGAGCAACGTCTGACCCAGTGCAGGAAGGAGAGAGCGGAGCAGAAAGACGGGGCAGGGCTCCCTCTGCTGTCACACAGTGGCTAGGAAGTGACTCCATGGCACTGACCACAAAAGACTTCTAGGTGTGAAGAACCTAACGCTTCTGTAACCTGTGATTTACAGTCCATGTATCTTAGAAACTCTCAACATGGTAGAGTTTCATTCTTATAAACACAAATAAAGCCTCAGAAATCCACATGGTGAAGGAACAATTGAAATACAGAAAGAGCACAAATATCATTAAAGTGAAACAGACGCGCTCCGCCCATCTGTCCTGAAACTGGCCCCTGGGCCTGGAACCAAGTATCCAGGACAAACAACGAGCTCCAGGAGTCAAGAATCGAGGTTTCAGAAGCTGGCGCCAGATTATCTAAAATACGAAGGTTTGTGTGAACACTTGCAAGCTCATTGTATGAACATCAGTAACACGTGGCGACAGCTTCATGGAAATGGATCAACAAGAAAGCCGCTCAGCAGCGTGGCCTTACCCAGCAGCTCCTGCTGCCCTCGGGGGAGGCGCACAGGTCTCCTCACCGTCTCCCCAAGCCGCACCCTGACACTGGCTCTCCGCGGCCACGGCTCCTCACTCCTTCCTGCCCCCTCACACCCTGCAGGAGAATCGGACCTGTCGTAAATATCCACCGTACAAGTGAACATTCCAGAAACATTTCATGATAACATCGAAGACGCCAAGAAAAAGCCAGTGAATCAAACAGGACTGGCAGGTCGCAGGCACGTGCAGAGGGCAGGTGGCTCCAGAAGGGCACTCGAGGCTTTCATCACGTGACCATCCTGGATTTTCGTTCTTCCTCTGATCATAATTTCCAAAAGCCTGCACTTCAAGTGCATTTCAGAAATGGATCCAAACATGCACCATACTTTGTTTTTCCATTTACAATTTATTAGGCTGTCACTTATTTTGTGTTAGAATATAGTGAAGCTATGATGTGTCCAAATTATTTTTGAAAGGCTTTAACCTTACGCAAAGCACGCGGCTCAGTGACTCTTTACCCACATAGTATCCACGTAACCACACCCGGATCAGGACACCGCACACTCACGGCACCCAGAGGCTCCCGGGCCCTCCTAGTCAACCTCCCCCCAGATGCAGTGACCACTCCGCCCTCCATCACCACACATTTGCTTTAGGACTTCGTGCACGTGGGATCTTACACTCGGGTTTGGCTTCATTTATTCCACATGGTCTGCGAAAGTCATCATGCAGCTACCCAGAGCAGTGGCTTGTTCTTGTGCCCACCGTATGTGCAGAACCACGCACCTGCCCCACAGCTGAGGGACATCGGACCTAGCAGGCAGCGGTGCCCGGTCGGCTCTCCCACGTGTCTGTGGTGGACACGACTCTCATTTCTGTTGGACATACACCTAAGAGGAATTTCTGGGCCACAGGGTATTTGCACGTTTGGTTTCAGCAGTCGTGGCGGAGCAGTCTTCCACAGCGGCTGCACCAATTGATGTTCCCCCCGGCCACGCGTGAGCATTCCAGCTGCTCTGCAGTCTTCCCAAAACACAGCACTGTCGCTGGTCCCTCCCACGTCAGTCAGCGTGGGGCACAGACAGCGCAGCGAGACTGTGACCTGCACTTCCCGACGACTGGTGGCACGGAGCCCGGGGTCGTTTGCACGTCTTCTTCTGTGAAGTGCTCGTTCAAGTCTTTCGATTGTTTACTAAGTTGCCTTTCCCTTGATTTTTCTAGTTTTCTGTATTCTGAGTATGAGTGCTTTGTCAGATATGTTTACTGCCAACATTTTCTTTAGTTTGTGACTGGCCTTTTGCTCTCCTAATGGTGTCTTTTAGTGAATAAATTAATAATTTTAATGAAGTCCATTTTATCAGACTTTTATTATTATGCTTTTTCTGAACTGCTTAAGAAACTTTTGCCTACCACCACGATCATGAAGCTGTTCTCCTAGGTCTTCTTCTAGGAAACCTTTTACATTTAGGTTTATGATCCATCCCAAATTAATTTTTGTGCTTGGTGCGAGGCAGGAGTCAAGATTCATTTTTTCCCTCCATGTGGACACGGATTCACTCAGAACCACACACTGAAAAGACCATCCACCTATCAACTGCAGAAAGGCCTCTGTCCTACGTCAGGTGCCTCCACAACACAGTGGGTGCCAGACTCGACCCAGTCGGTCACTGCAGCTCCGCAAGTCTTGGTATCTGCTTATACCAGTCCACCACTCTCATCTTCCTCTTCAAGATCCCCTCAGCCGCCCGTGGTCAACAGGCCTTTGATTCTCTGCCTTCTGATGCTTGGACATCTGGGGCCTCGCTGACCCTGGAGGGACGGCTCCTCCTAGGGTTGGCCCACTCCCAGAGATAATAAATAACCTGCCTTTCGTGTGCAAGCCGGCCAACCCAGAGCCCACCCCCACCCCTCCACTATCCAGCCCCCGACTCTGGGTCACTGTGTAATGGCCCCAATAGCCCCAGGACCATACAATCAGAGCCGGTCTGTGCCTGGAGTCGCAGAAACTGTTCAAACGAGCAGTCCTAAGCCTGTCCCTCTGCCTCACCCGTCCCTTCCCAGGAACCCACAGCCAAGGCTCTCGCCCACGTCTTCCCTCGCTCCCTCTGCCTCCTGACCGACCTCTGTGCCATGCCAGGCCCCCTTTTTGCTTCAGTTTTGGTATATTGGGATTGTGGTTTTCAAGAAATTTGCCCATTTCCTCCAACTTGCCAAATGTATCGGCATAAAGTGTTCACAATATTCTCTTATTATTGTTCTAGTATCTGTAGAATCTTAGTAATGATCTCTTGTTAACACCTTTTATTGAAAATTGGCACCTTCCTCTATCTTTATTGATCACTTTTGATAAGAGTTTATTAGTTTTATTAATCTTTTCAACACACTGGTGTTTGGCTTTGTTCACTTTTTCTATTGTACGTCTGCTTTCTATCTCATCGGTATCTGCTCTGTCTTCGGCTCCTGCTGCATTCTTTGGGTTTAATTTGCTATTTTTCCCTCACTTCTTGACCCTCAAAGTTAGAACCTTCCTTCCTTTCTAGTAAATGCTACGAGAGCCATAAATTCCCCTTTAACATTGCTTACATGTATCCTACAAGTTTTGACATGTTGTATTTTCAGTATCATTCAGTTGAAAGTATTTTATAATTCCCATTGTGACTTATTCTTCAACTCATGGATTATTTAACAGTGTGTTGCTTGATTTCCTAACATTTGGGGATATTCTAGTATCTTTCTGTTATCGATTTTTTAAATTTAATTTCACTGAGGTAAGAGACAACACAGATTTCATTCCTTTGGTGTCTGTTGAGACCCGAGTTACAGCCCTGATCAGTCTATTCTGTAAACGTTTCATGTGCACTTGGAATAGTCTGGAATATCCTGGAATAGCCCTGGTCTATTCGTAAATATTTCCTGTGCATTTGGAATATTCTGCACTTGTTTGGTGTCATGTTAAAATTGGTTAATTGTGTTATTAGCGGCCAACACCTCTGACCATAGAGGCAAAACTCCTAAAACAAATAGCAAGTTGAATTCAACAATATAGAAAAAGAATAATACCTTGTGACTAGATGGGTTTATTCCAGGAATTCAAGGTTAACTTAACTTTTGAAAACTGTGCTCAAATCTTCTCTGTCCTTATTAATATTTTGTCTCCTATTGTATCAATGACTGAGGAAATGCATTAAAAATCCCCAGGTCTCATTGTGTGCTGGTCTCTCTCCTTTCAGTGCTGTCAACTTCCACTTCACGTAATTTAGAGCTGAGCACACACATTCAGGATCGTGATGCTTCCTACTGATCTGACTCTCTCATCAGTAGGCACTGTCCCTCCTGGGTGACACTTCTGGAAGTTGACCATGTGTCACTAACGTTAATATTAATGACTTTCTTTAGTGTTTCCTTGGTTTATCGTTTTTCTTTAAACGTCTCTGTGTTCTTATCTATAAAGTATGTCACCCACAAACAGCACACTTGTTTTAAAAGCAGGCTGGTAATCTTTTCTTTTTATTGGCATGTTCAGTCCATTTGTGACCATGGAGTATTGACAGCTGGTGAAGGCCACCATCTCACTCTCTGTTGTCTATCTGTCCTTTATGTGTTTTGGTCCTTTATCCCTCCTTGCTTGCCTTCTTTCAAATTAATCACGTATGGTTCCGTTTTTCTCTTCACAAGCCTGTCAGCTGTCCTCAACTATTCTGTCCTTATTCACGTGACCTCACAAACAACACAGGAGCAACAGTCAACCTCACCTGTTCCTCCCACCTTTGTGCCGGCAGCATCATGCACTATGCTCCTCTCTCTCTTAAAAGCCCCACTGAAACTACCAATGTTGCTTTAACCACCCAGATCCTTTCCTAACTCCCGTGGTTACCCCTCCTGGTCCTTCTTCAGCCTGTGTTCCATCGGAAAATTCTTCTTCAGCCTGAGGGCTGTTTTTCAGTACTTCTTGTCAGCTGGCAATGACTTCTCTCCATTCTGCTTGTTTGTATGATAATGTCTTCACATAGCCTTGATGTGTGAAGAATATTTTTTGCTGGGTATAGAATTCTAAGTTGGCAACTTTTTTTGCAGCATTTCAAAGACGTCGTTCGTTGTCATCTGGCTTCTGTAGTTTCTGTTGAAAAGTCAGCCATCAGTCTTGTTGTTCCTCTGAAAGTAATGTCTTATTTCTCCAGCTGCGTTTAAGATTTCTCCTTTCATCCTTGGTTCTCACTAGCGTGAGCACCACGTGCCCAGATATGGTTTCTGTTGTTGTGGTCGTTTTGGTATTCATTCTGCTTTGGGTTCACTGAGCTTCTTGAATCCGTGCATTGACGTTTTTCATCAGTTTTGGAAAATTCTCAGCTATTGTCTCTTTGGATATCACTTCTGTTCCATTTTTTTCTCCTCTCTCCTCTGGAACTCCAGTTACACATACATTAAGCATTTTCACTGTGTTCCATGTGTCTCTGCTTTTTTCCCATTCTTTTTCTCTGAGCTTCAGCATGGATATTTTTCATTGGTCTGCCTTCCAGTTCACTAACTCT